AAGTTGAGGTTTGCATGAAGCTGGGTGACAGCATGCCCAGGAGACTACAGGCTGTCATTAAGGCTAAGGGTTGCCCGACTAAGTATTGATAGTTGTGTAAATACTGTCATACTAACAGCTGTCTAATTTTTTGGTTGATTGTAATCCATTAGGCTACATACCTTTCTATCAAAGTTATCTAACATTATCAAGCTGAATTAGTTCTGACTCCGTTTAACTCTGAGTTCTTGTTATATTTTATTACCATTTTCTAAACTATAGCGAATAAACTCTGATAATGTGAGAAATGTTGAAGGTGTCTGAATAAATTTTGGTTTGACTAACATTATATATACACTTTTGGTTTCTGTACCCAATATTTAAAAAATTTACAAATGCAATAAAATATTGGTATCGGTACACGGTATTGGCAAGTACCAAAAATAAAAGTATTGGTATCGGGCGAGCACTGGAAAAAGTGGTATCGTGCATCCCTAGTCACGCCCCAAATTGCGATTGGTTAATGCTATGTCAGATCATGCCATGTCCATTTGGTGCCACTGATGGCACAAAAACTACTCAACACACCTTAAAGTACCTTGACTGGGCCTTCAAGTGGCAAAATGGATGTATAGTCAACCAGTAACCAGGCACACTTCATCTTATCTAGCAGTTGAAGAATTGTGCCCCATCTTCATCCCTGATGGGATAACTGTAGCCATCTTCTCCCCTTTGACCCTCATCCTCCAGTTGGAGACTGCCAAATGAGAACTTGCTTTGGGGCATAGGGGAGGAATTGGCCACCCCAGGGTTTCCAAAGACTAGGGGCTGACTGTAAGAGTTGCTGCCTGCATCTGACTCGGTATCACTAGACTCCGTTCCACTACTAGTGGAACCATCAATCATATGGACTGGGCTATTGTGGTCATTAGCGCTGAGATGGCTTCCATACAGTCTCTGGACATTACTGGATCGAGCTTGGCTAGATGTTCCAAGCCCATTAGCAGCCACACGGCTTTCAAGGGCGGCCATACGTTCAGCTCTTGAGAGCACTAATCGGGGTTCATTAGCTGGGGTTGAACCTAACTGGCTCAAAATCATGGGATCGGTGTCGGAACGGTTACGCATGCCATTATGGAGTTTCTGCAAGTGTGGGGATCGACTGACAATTGGGGAGTAGCTCCCATAATGTTGAGGCTCACTCCCAGATCGACCATTGGTAAGGTAATGGTTACCGTCATCCTGACGGCGACGACTGCTATAGCAGATCTGCTCTGGATGATTCAGGGAGTTGGTTTTGTGAAAACTGCTCATCATCGGACTACAGTTTGCACTTCGGGAACCAACTAATGGACCAGAAGGTGACACCAGACCACGTCTATCCATACCTTGAAACAATTCATCCACCAAGGTACTACTCAGGGGTAAAGCACGTGGTGATCCATTACCACAAAACGACCCATTAGACAACTGACTACTGTTAAAGGTATCTGAACACTGACCCAACCAATGGCTGGTCAAAGAAGACTCCCTAAATCTAGACTTGCTTGCCCCTTGTCCATTGTGCTGACTATTTCCATAACTATTACTCTTGCCTGCTGTATGGCTGGTTGGCTCAACCTCATCATTGTCATGTGTGTGGGAGTGAGACCTAGTGACACGGCCTTTGACCACATCATATTCGCTATCTATGTCACTGCAGTCGATGTAAGGTATCGAGGAGCTGCTACCCTTAGCAGCATGCGATGCTAGACCTGTGCTCAGATGCTCGGCCTGCTGCTTGGATGGGGATGGCTTTAATCGAGTATCCGCCTCATCGGGGGTCCCATTTCGGCATCCATTGGTCTGTGAGGTTAGACTCTCAGTGTAACGCTGGAGAGCTGGGTTTTCAACAGTCACTTGGGTGTGTCCAATAGGGGAGTCTGCATTCCTCTGCAAAATGTAGAATGCAAGAGATGGTGGAAGGTAGAGGATGAGATGCATATATTGACCACTCCTAACACAGGTAATTTAAAGTCAACAAGAAATCACATTTGCAAGCCATTTTACATTGATGTTCTGTCTCAGAACAGAAGTGGACCAAGTTACCAGAGATAAAGTTATTACATTTGTATTACATTTTTGAATCATCAGGAACACTGATGATTCATTCACAATAGGAACAGAAATGTGTATTAAGAAAGTAATTGGGGTCGATTTTGATGTTGATTTACATAATATGGGATTATTTTAATGCACTCCTACTGTGTTTGTACAATAAGATACATTACACTCACCTCTCCTTGACCCTCGGCACACAGCCTGGGTGGGGATGGAGAAAGACTGCTGTTGTACTGGATTTTACTGTGTTTTCTAAAGATGGAAGATTGGAAATTATTAGTAAGGAGTTTTTTTTCAAAGGGCATCTCCACACTAGGTTCAAAAGCGGACTTATTTCCACTCAGCTGCTTTATGGGTGTTGCCTGATTGGATTATTGTATGATAAGGAAAAGGCACTGACTACTGTTAATTGACTAGAATGATACTGCTAGAAAACAACACAAAATTTTTTACATCCAGTGCTTAAAAACCTTGATGCTATGTGATGCGATTTACAATATTTCTAGGTCAATTACAGTGTATTTTGGGTCATTTCTAGGCCATTTCTTGTTGGTTTCTAGGGTGCTTTGGGTTTTTTTTAGGGGGCATTGCTAGGTGGTTTCTAGTAGTGTTCGATCGATATATCGGCCGATATTTGGCATTTTTCAAATATCAGCATCAGCCAATAAGTTTTTCTGTTTGGCCGATGTGTTTGACTTTGACGGTGTACCAGAGTGACAGCGCTGAGAATGGCAATGCCTGAGCACACAGCTTCACATTCTCCCTCTTCATTGTTTGCTGTCATCATTTAACAGTTCTTTCTAATACAGATAGAAGTCTGTCTAATAATCAGATAGAACTGTTAAACAAAGGAATTAAAAGATTTTATTATAACGATTGCTTTTATATTAATAGTACTAGAAAGGCAAGCATTATAATACTTTCCTGTTTACTGTGAGCATTCAGCAAATACGTATTTATATCATTTAAACAAATCTTTGAATGTCTAATAAACATTTAATTTCACAAACCTTGCAGACTTAGTCTAATTCAGCTGTGAGATCTTGTGAAGTGTGCATTTGTATCCTGCATGATCACGTGTTTTCTGCGTGAAAGTTGGTCCATGCGAACTGAATCAACCGGCAACCTTTGAACGCCTTATTTCAAACTATTGTTTGATTAAACTTAAATAGGCGATGATTTCATTGAATAAATATGAGTGCTGCACATTTCAAAGTCAGGTTCGGCACTGATTTGTGTACTGCGGTTACAGGGAGATTGAGGTCTCTGCAGAGGAAAAGTGGGCGTTTCTGACGTTGTGGGTGTTTTCAAACTGATGGGCGTTTCTAAATGATGCAATGAAAATGGTCCCCCTTACCTAATCCCACCCCTAAACCAACCGTCACTATGACGTGAGCCAATAAGGTAACATGGTCGAAAATGCCCCGATCTGGTAATGCCCATTACTGTCCTGCAGAGACCTTTTATTGGTTATGGGGGAAACCGCTATATTGAGAATGTGCATTTTACCCTATTCTTTAAATTCATTTTCAAATTATTTCAAATTTCTTGAATATTAAAATAATTTCTAGGGACTTCTTGGTAGTTTCTAGGGCATTAGTGGTTTTTAGGATGTGGCATATGACATATTTCACCATACTCCACCTCCATAGTGAAAATGCTTAATGGAGAATGGAATGCACTGTGGATAAATCATATCTGGATATTATTCAGATAAAACAATCATGAAGTGGTGTGTAAATGGGGCGTGATGTTTAAGAATGTAAATGCCAACACTGATTAATTCACTGGATTATTCCAAAAGCAGTATATTTACCAGTATATATATAACACCGTTAATGTTTAAATACAGTTAAAAAGCAAAACAAAATAATGAGATTACATTAATTTAATTACTTTTAAATAATAAAATATTTTAATATGAAAGCTTTATTTAAATAACTTTGGTTTGTACCACTGGTCAGTCTCTTGATTCGATTACTGATGCTACACTAGCCCTCATCATCCTCAGCAGTGGTTTCCATAGCAACTAACCAGTCTGTGATGTAGTGATGTTGAAGCAAAGCTTGTTTGACATGATCTGAACATGGTTTTGCATGAGCGACAACATGGAGTATAATCCAATTCGTCCACTCGATGACAGCACTGTCATTCAAATAATCCTACGGGATTTCTGCTGAAGCATCAGCTTGACAATGACAAGTCTACAAGATTAATATACTTACGCATAGTGGTCGACCGATATGGGTTTTTTGACAGCCGATGCCGATATCTTGGAAAGCAGGGTGGCCGATGGCTGATATAAAGCCGATATAATTGTATTTATTTTAATTTATATTTAAGAAATTTGAAATCATTTGAAAATGGATTAAACATAATTGTGTAAAATAAACATACTTATACTTCAGAAGACAAAGCATTTTCACAAATAAATAAATATTTAATAAAAATCTAATTAAAAAGGAAGTAAACACGGTAACCAACAGGGCACTCAGTATTCTGGGAAGTTTGTGTGAATAATTTTTTTTATTTTTATTTTTTTCAAATAAAGTCAAGGTAACACTAATTTTACATACAGCACGCAATGAAAATTACATGAATATGACAGTGGGCAACTGCATAAAGCGCAGTGTAATTTGAAATCACTAGTTTAAAGTTTGTCGATCGCACGTCTCCAGTGAAGCTGAACTCTCCTCCTGTCAATTCAATTTGCACGGATTGACCGTCACGCAGAGAACACGCGATCATGCAGGATACACATGCACACTTCACAAGATCTCAACTAAGTCTGCAAGGTTTGTGAAATTAAATGTTCATTAGTCATTTAAAGATTTGTTTAAATGATATAAATGCGTATTTGCTGAATGCTGACTGCAAATGAGAAAGTATTATAACGTTTGCCTTTCTATTACTAATAATAGTGAAGCAATCGTTATAATACTTTTTTGTATACATTTTAATTAATTTGTTTAACACATCTATCTGATTATTAGATAGACTCATATCCATATTAGACAGAACTGAACGACGACAGCGAACAAGAGGGAGAATGTGAGCGGTGTGCACTCAGGCGCTGCGGCTGCAGTTCTCAGCGCCGTCAAAATAAAAGTCCTGCCTCGAACACATCGGCCAAACAGAAAAACTTATCGGCCGATACGATATTTGAAAAATATCGGCCTTGGCGATATATCGGTCGACCACTACTTACGAATACTGCTTTTGCGATGGAGACAGATCATAATTCTGTGTGTTCAACACTTTTATTGACAATTATACAATAAATACAATTATTGACCTTTTTTCAGATCCCTAATGCTTTTGATTGTGTTTGACTATGTGAATTGTGCCACAATCCTCAAACAGAATCCAATGAAAGTGCAAGACGACTATATTGAACTAACAATGACACTCCAACGCATCTATTATAGAATTTAATAATTGATTATCATCATTATAATAGTATGCAATGCATTATGCATTATTTATTATCCAAAATACAATTCCGGACCTATTTTCAGTTACATATCGGCCAAATCCAACTCTCTAATTACTTTAAAGGCAGATGCACAAATTGAACCATGCATCTTATTTCATAAAGAATCATAATCAAATCGAATCCATGTCAGAGTGAATATTTATATTCCTAGTGCTGGTAAAATATCTTGAATGTCTTACATTGCACTATATGAGAGACCAGCAAGGCGGCACTGCTTTCATTACAGGTCAAACGTCCACAGGCCAGGTCATGCTTGATCTGCAAGGCGAAAAGATACCTGTCGACAGAGAGCGGGACATAATTAGACCAATTTAGAAGAGAGACTGAATCAGAATGACAGGCAGTAAATCAATATAAAGGTTTCAGTACAGTGACAGATGCTTATTGATGGAATTACAGGCAATTTAAGGTGTGCAACAATTACACAACTGATTTCAATAGTCTGACTTTAGCATATAGAGAAGCTAAAACATTATTTTACGTATTAGGTAAGTTTATTGGGTAAGTGTCAATTTTTAATTGGATTTAACTGTTTTTAATCCATATTTTCAGGTATTTTCATGAAAAGGGCTTGTGAAGGTTATCCTGACTTCAGTCTTGCTTTAATAGCATTTCATGATGCTAAATGCAGCCGTGAACTATAAAGAGACTTTCAAATTGAGTTTGGCAGCGTTTCTCTCTCAGTATGTCCATCTGTTATTGTGATCCTGCCAAACACAATAAAATCATTATTCAGTTGATTATATGATCAAACAGGACTCACAGCTTAACAACTGGGACATCAGTTTTGCTGTTCTCTCAAGTTACATAAAGCGAGATCTTAATCTGTTTGTTTTTGTTAATCTGATCATTTGTTTTGTGTCCTTAAAGTTCTATACAAAAATAAAATCAAATGAGATGAAGCATCATCATATGTGAAATATTTAATTCACTGGATTATCAAATAACAGGCATTTCCACATGGTTATGCAAGATATTTTTAACTGAATTTCCAGCCAAAATAATTATATAATGATTTAATCCATGACTGTGATATAAAATTACTCACACCATGAATTATGATTTTGGTGAAACCGCCCACTCTTCAGCCTGGCTAAACCTCTCTTCCTTCAAAACAGTGTTTTTGTTAACTAAAACTATTTAAAAATGGTTTCTTTAATTGAAATTAAGATGGAATAAAATATAAATATTAGACTTAAAAACAAGTTTAATTTGAAGTATTCAAAATACTAACTAATATAAAAAATGAAGCTAAATAGAACTATTAAAAAAGACAAAACGCTAACAAGATTACAAAAACCGTCAAATTAAAATAAATTAAAACATGGTGAAAATATAAAAATAAGAATCCATTCAAAATTTTACTGAACACTATAATAGTATATAAATAATACCAATGTTATTTTAGTACCACCGAGATTCTATTAAAGATTTTATAATTTCCTTTTTCATTTAATTTTTAAATCTTCATTCACTTTGAATTTTGTGGTGTTTATGTGTTTAATTGTATGCGTGTTTGTGTAGTTTTTATTCTTTATTTCAGTTTTGGTTCCAGTTATTTTAGTACATCAAGTTAAGCTGAATGAAAATAAGAAATGTTAAGTTTTTTATATTTCAGTTAATGTTTGTTTTATTTTAATTAATGCTTTTTTTTAAGTTTCAGTTTTAACTTAAATTAACTACAGTAACCCTGGATAATCCTAAAATAACACTTCATAAACACTGTCAAACATTTAAAATTTAAAAACTTAAATTTTTCAACTACAAGTTCTTCGTTCTCTTCAGTTCATGCAGTGGGTTTTCTAGCCAATTTCCAAAATGTTCAAGTAAGATATCAGCTATGTTTACATAATCCATCAAAAAGATTTTTACAGCTTGAAGTGTTTTGCAAAGGCAAAATGTCCTTGGACGAACGTTTCAGGTTTGGCGTTAATATAATATGCAGCCATCACAGGAAAATCAAAAACTCTTTCTCTACTGCCAACAGCTACTGACAGTCTGGCCAGAACAGCGTGTCGCTCTGAGAAAACACAGAGACTCCAGGAAACCTGGGAGACCCAAACACAGTCTTATTCGGCATCAGATTTTCTCTAACAGAACCTCGTTCTCTTGAATGATGCCTGACATTCTAAAGCCGACAGGGAAATGTGCCACAAATCATTCTGCTGGTGAACGTGTTGTAAAATTCATTACGCTTGTCAGGCAATGGCGTGCCAACACAATCAGCCGCAGAACATTAACATGCAGTTTGCCGATAAATAAGTCATTTGTTAGGGACATTACAGCGCCTGAAAGCTGTTTCATGATTTACAGGCCACTTCATTCACTTTTCTACACAAGATGCATCATATTTATATTGAGTGATTGAGGCCACATTACAACCAAACTGAATGAATGTCTCCAACATTCATGTACTGAGCCTTTATTTATTGAAATGCAAACTGTAATATTTATTAATGACCTATAATGTGTATCTTTTTTTTATAAGAGGACATGGACAAGAACAAAATAAAATACTATGAAAATATTACAGTATATCACAGTATGAGAAATGTTATGGTAGTGGTAATTTTTTGTTCAGATATTTTTGATGGAAATTCAATGGAAAAAAGCTTTATTGACTATAAATAAAATAAAAATTATAACTCATGCATTATATCACAATGTGATTTGAATTTTATTCTTAAACGTATGTACATATACACACACATACTTCTACATGAATAAATAAATAAGTTTATTTAGAAGTACTTAAAAAATACTAATATAGAATTTAAAGAAAAAAGAATAAAATTATTAAAACTAAAACGCAAATTAAAAATACTCAAAATAAATGCTAATTCAAAATATTATTATTACAGTAGTATATAAATAATGCAAATATTACAATATAAATAATATATTACTATATAAATAATATTAAAATATAAATAATGCTAATTCAGTCAGGACTACTCTGTTGATTAAGACTATGGTTGAGGTCCTAAACATTATTATGGCGGCAGGCTTTGCTCTGAAGAGTTCAGATTCTGAGCTGTCCACAAGCAAAACTCACTGAGGTTTGCAACCCACAAAGCCTAATGCAATTACCAGAATCTTTTTTAATGTGGAACAGATATAAAATTGTATTCAGGAAAGTGATACAGGTCAGTAAATGAGACTGGACAAGATTAAGCAATGATTAGCTGATGGATGATTTCTGTGGACAAGACGCTAAGTGATCATGTGCCTGTACAAGGAGGAGTTGGGGATGGAGGAGGGTAAGTGCATGTCTGTGCAACAGACTAAGGCAACTGTGAGTACGGATGAACTTATAAATCTTATTTAATTGTAGTGGGAGGAGTTACAATCAGCTGAGCTGTCACGCCGTGGTCTGCCTGAACTACGTTTGAGCTTCATTCATAACTCAAACTAGATTATTAAAATAATTGTAATATTCTTTAATGGTATAAGCATGAGTTTGCAAGTGGTAGTTATGTAAAAGGCTTTAAATGAATAGCACAAATGGCACCTGGTCAGCTCTTCTAACAGCTGCGTGTGATCAGGAGGGAAGAACTTCACCACGAACCGCAGGATGGTGTTCTTGGGTCCTGCAGATGGAGAAACACGATGCTGTCAGATCGTCATGTTCACTAGATCGAATCAAATATCATTAACACAAGGATACGTACGTCTGATTTGTTTTAGAATCGGCTTCAGCAGATCCAACCACACCTGAGAAGAGAGTCCAACGAAACAAAACAACAGAAACACTTTAAATCATATTTCTTTAATGCAGCATATATACACAATATACAGTTTTATTAGTTACATTTACAATTGACATTTCTCTTAAAGTGTTTACTGAGCTTGTTGCGATGCATTCTGGGATGGCCTTATCCATGACACTTAGGGCCTGTTTACACCTGGTCATTTCATGTGTTTTCGCTGATCGGATATCTATCTGATTTGTTAAAACGTTTCCATTTACACTTGGCCAAATATAAATCCGATCTTCAATTCCCGTGCTATATTTAAATTTAACAGAGTTCATGTCAACGAAATCAAAAGATAAGCGCTGCATTTTATTAATTATCAGCTCATTTCAAGACCAAAGGAATAGAAGAGCGTGTGACATCAGAACTGGAAAGATAGGTTAGTCACACTACTTTTAATGAAGATGATTGTGCATTGAGCGTCTGCTTCTTACTTTCAGTTTCATTCGCGGCAGTTTGCGAGTCGGCTTGCTGAAGAGATACTCAGCTACTCGTCCGCAGCAATGCGTGTTGCATTAGCGCAGTCTGACTAATGTCATATAGCCTATAACCCGCTCTCACACGTCATCAATGATGAACTGTCTTTAACTGAAAAATGAGTGTTTACGATTGTCATTTTGCATTATTGACACACTGTTTTCCTAATTAATGCTGTTCAGTTGCTTTGACACAATCTGTATTGTTAAAAGCGCTATATAAATAAAGGTGACTTGACTTGAAAGGTGACTTCTTATTTTAACATTTTGGGAGGAGTCAAATTTGCATATGCGGTTTCAACAACCAGATGCATTTACACTGGTCCAGTTTCGTCTGGAATGCGTCCCAGACCACCTCCTGAAGTGGTTTGAGCGATCGGATTTATATCCGTCTCGAATGCGTTTCGGAGGGCATTTACACCTGGTCTTTTCACGATCGGATAGCTATACGATCAGAAAAAATGCATGAAGTGACCATGTGTAAACAGGCCCATAAATGCCTTAGATTTTGGTCGAAACGAGTAAATATTATACAACAGCATAATTTTGCTGCCAGCTGTTTGGAACATCCTACACATCTGTGTGTTTACAGGTTAATAACTTAATAATTTAATTTGTTTGCATAGATTATTTGAACCTTTACAAAACAGCCACTTATGGATTATTATTATTATTATTACTGACAACAACAACAGTAATAATAATAATAATAATAAAGCCTAAAAGACTACATTTCTGCAACACATCTCACTCAGCCATGAATGGTTATGTAAAAAGTTCAACTGCTTACACAATGTATACAATTATTATTATTAAAGTGAGCTATAGTGATCTTTTAAAGTAGGGTTTAAAACGGAGCCACAGTGTCTGTATTTCTAATGGGAACAAATAACGTTAGCACCTGAATACTGTCTCTAAAATTAGCGTATCTTCCACACTGACATCAGAATTAAAAATGAAGTGTTGCTCACGGTCATTTTACGCTGGTCCTGATACTCCAAACTGAAGTAATCACCCTCGATGAGGTTCAGGTGGGCACAAACCAGGTCAAACAGCACCTTCCCTGAAGCACGTTGCTGTAGAAACAGAAAATCACACATGAAGCTTGTTAGACATGAAACACATACAGTAACTCATCTGATGGTACAGGCACCTGCATAAACAGGCATTTATTTTAATGTTGAGGAATCATTTTTAAAGAAAGTCCCAATGAATATCACTTGTAAAACAGGTTGCAAATGTCATTTCAATCTGACTTCAACATCAAGTTTCTCAGTTTCTATGTACGCTGCAGCAGGATCAAAGACTTCAGTGAATTGTGTCGGCAAACACCAAAGACAACAGCAACCAGAGAGTTTGTCATTCAAGCAAATCCACTGGCACACAGTCTCCTAATTGGCCATCAATTTTAACAAGATGCTTGTTGCTGTGACCCATGACCTCACTGTTAAAACCAGGCCAGACAACACAAACACGTCCATGTGCAGCAAAGCTGACTTTACAGTCCTCTCAGGCATGAAAACTCATGACACACTCCACACGTCCAGTCAAAAAGAATAAAGAAATGTGCTTTTCCGCTTTGCATTTGCAAAACATTCATTTGCAAAAGGATCCTAATGGGATTTTCTTTAATACAGGATTCACAGGGGGTACACTAGGGAAGTGTTCATACTCAAAGTATTAATACAACAAAAACATCCGCATCAAAATAAATTTACAAAAGTGATTTTATGTCCATAGAAAGTACATTCAATGTAAGTAAAGGGTCTACTTTTAAGGTTTCAAATAAGTTTTTGGAGAAAAAAATGTCAAAATTTGGTTGAAATAATGTTACATTGTCATTCAGTGTAACACAATTATGTAAAAAGTCAACATGCTTATTCTGACGTGTACATATTAAAATATATAAAAGAATAAGGGAGCATATTACATTTTATTGTGTTTTAATTTAGTAAAAAAATTCTGACTGACAAATGGGCAAAACCTAGGATAGTGGCACATTTTAAAAATGTAAAATTACAACTAATTAGTATTTGGGGTGAAAGTAATTAGTCTTTTAATATGTCATAAATTGATTTTTGTTGTAAATATGCCTGACAAGATTGTTACACTGAATGACATTTTAGTGGGTCTCTTCTGTAAATCAGGGGAAAATGTATGATATAAATTTTTTTGCTCAGAAAAACAAAATTGCAATTAAATTAAACAGAAAACGTTTAAATTTTTGTATAAATATTTTTTAATATATGTATAAAATACATATACATATATATACACACACACACACACACACACACACACACACACACACAAAATAGTGATACAAAAATATTTTTTGCAGAATTGATTGCCAATATTTCAAGAATAAATAAATAAATAAAACAAAAAATAAAAATAAAAAGCCTTATGTGCAATTTAAATTAAAATAAACTATTTTTTTTTATTTGAGTGTTAATTGTTAAATAAATATTATCAATGAAGTGATTGTTAAATAACTATTTTTGGTTTCTGTTTTTTAGCAATGAAAACTGTAATTTCAGTTGCTAAGTTTCAGTAAAAATGTATTTCAGTGCATCGCAATAAAAAAATGACAAAAAAATACTTATTTTTTTTTAGAAAATAATTTTTTTTAAAAACTGCACTTTTTCATATTTGAAATCAATTGCACAGTGTAGACGTTTCCTTCACTTAGCAGAACACGTGAATAATTTCAGATCTGATTCTTCAACAACGAGCACAATGCAGGAAGCGGTAAACCACACCGAACCTGAGAAAACACACCACAGTTCTTTAATACTTATATAGATTTCATCATCTCATGCTCCTGCCAACCAAAACAGTTCGGGTCTGCCAGCTCACGTCCAGTAAAACACACTTTAAATATACATGGAGGGCGAGCCGAGGTTAATGCAAGCGGCGCTCCAGGTTTTGGGAGGCAGGCGTTCTTTTAATATATGGAGAAGTTCCATTAAGGAAGATAAATGAGCCGATATATCTGCATTCTTCAAGCCGAGCGGAGCTGTGTGCGTGTTTACAGCAACGCCAGGCTTACCACTCCCCGTGAATAACAGTCTCTCAGGACGACATGAAAGGGTGTTTAGACGTGATATTTAGTGCATGGTTATGCTGCAGGTTGCATGTGTGATAACAGATGATCACAGTGGTCAAAAACAGAACAAATCATATCAGAATGATCGTATTAGTAAGACTGGCACACATGAAAACCACTACAAATATCAATTAAAGAATCAAATGGTGGAAGCCAATTATTATTGCTCATAATCATTTAATTGTGAATATTCCGTTTTTACACATAATATGTATAATTACTTATTTAGATACATGCATTACATATTTAGATATTCTAAGCGGTCAAAACTACATTTCCGGTGGCAGCCCTTGAATTTGGATCTAATTTAATACATTTAAGTTGAGCATCTGCTATTGACCTCTGTTGCACATTCGCAAAGACCAGCAAAATTAATTTTGAATTACAGACAAAATAAAGAATCTATTGCAGACAAAGTTAAGCTAAACAACCAGTGTTGTTATTGTTAACTAAAATAAAAATTATTTTCATTAACTGAAATAAAGCTGAAGTGAAATAAAATATAAATATTTAGTTAAGAAAATGAAAATTAGAAATGTTGCCTTGGCAACTAACTGAAATAAAATAAGTTGAAGCTGAAGTTCAAAAAGTAGGGTCATGAAAAATTAAATGAAAAATGTATAATAAAAACTGAAAATATAAAAACAGAAGCAACTTCAAAATATTTATAAATATATAAATAGAAATATATAATTGTGTATACATAAAATAAGTTTAGGTTCAAAAATACTAAAACTGAAATAAAAAATAAATTCAAGCTAAATTGAGATGTTTAAAAATGAATAAAAATGACAAAAGCACAAAACAAAAAAAATCACTGAAACAAATTAACATTAAGTGATTATTAATGAAGTCAATTATGAAAGCTAAATTAAATAAAAAAATTATGAAAAAAAAGGTACTACAAAATTGTAATAAATATCTGAATATAAATATATAAAAAATATAATTGTATATAAATACTACTAAAATACCACAGTAAATGAATTGTGGTCAAGCGCTTAACTTTAATCTAAAGGAAAAAATGAGCTGCACCCGTGACCAGATAGTCAAACTGATAGTCAAAACGTTTGGTCAAGCAAGATTACACTAGTGTTAAAAAGAGAGCATGAAGTACAAAATTTCCCAACGGATCCATTTTACTTTAAGAATGTCATGCCACATATAGACATCATAATCAAACACACAAGTAACAAATTCCCAAAAGGACATGAAGGCAGCATTAAAACAAGTTGCCAGGAACGTTTGATGTCCAGGAACGTTTTGACAGCTGAACTTAATCTTTCACTTTCATGGCAATAACCCCATAAAAGGCTACACAGCAGTTTAAGTGGCACATGAAATAAAAATAGAATTCAATTAATGCAAGAGAGGTTTGCTGACGATATTTTTCCTCAGCATCTTGTTTTGCTCTTCCTGCAGCAGCTGAGATCTACAAACCCACCAGCTACCAGCTGTTTCACACGGTACAAGCAGAAGGGCCCCGGAGCCTCCGGGGGACCGGGAGAACCGCCAAATCCAACACTCTCCACCTGCTGCAAACACCGACCGCTGGCAGCGACACCAAGAGCTCACGCTCACCGCACCGCCGCAGCTGGAAACCGATGCGGGACGGGAACGGGTCACACAGCGGTCGATGGGTACCTGACCTCTAGCATAAACAGCTGATGTCACGCGAGCCAAGAGATCTCAGCTCATGATGTGTTTGCTTTGAAACACAAGCTCAGATGAGGACTGCCGCTGGGATAAAGACCAGAGCAGAAATACATCCATTTTGTGCCAAACACAGAGAGAGAATGTGAAACTAAATGACTTTCCTAAAACACGTTTCTGGTCTAATTGTGAATGATTCTAATGTTATTCTAAAGAAAAATATTCTTTCTTTCTCTAAAATGACTTTTCCATTCTAAAATATTGAATAATATTAATAAATAACTCTTTGAGCATCATTTTACAAACTCCCTTTTAGGTCTGCATTATATGGATTTATGCTGTATATGATATTATGGCTGGTAATCATTATATGTCAGATTTAAAGACTATAATTTTTTTTAATAAATGTAAAATAAAACACTAAAACAACTAAAAATATATATTTTTAATCACAACATTGATCTATTACAACATTATAGCCTAATATTTGGTATGGAAAAAAATTATATTCTTTAAGATTTATTAAAGATCATTATATCGTTCCAAAGTGTGGACGCATTAAACTGATCAAAAGTGACAGTAAAGCCATTTATAGTGTTACGAAAGTTTTCGGTTTCAAATAAATGCTGTTCTTTTTATCTTTCTATTCATCAAATAATCACACACAAAAAAGTCTCACAGTTTCAGCAAAAATATTGCGCAGCACAACTGTTTGATAATAATCAGAAATGAATGATTTCTGAAGGATCGTGTGACACTCAAGACAGGAGTAATAATGCTGGAAATTCAGCATTGCATTCCAGGAATAAATTATATGCATCCACACATTACTGGAGCAAAACAAGCTGTCAACCCAACTTCACGCAGACTTTAAACACAGTCAGTACACTTTAAAACCTTTGTGCCTAAAGCTGAAGAGTCATTCAGTGATATAACCTAAAGAAAACCAATGAATGCTAACGTTGCAGATGATAAATCCTAATTTAGACTCAGACAGCTGTGCAGTCAGGATGCGTCCTAATTCCTCTCTATTGTAAAATGTGGGAAAGAGCAGCCAGCCGTAAATAAATCCAGACATGCCTGCGACGTGAGACATTTGCCTGTGGTTAGCAAAAGTATGCTACAAGACGGTGAAGTTAACAAGAAAATGACATCAAGGATCTAAAGCAGAATGAAAACCTTTGTGCAGATCACTAACACAAAGTATCAGTGATACTAAAAGATACTCTCTCCTCGGCGAACACCACTAAAGAAGTGCAGTACTGGCTCCAGTCCAGCGTTTATCAGTGCAAGCAGAGGACAAAGAGGAAAACC